GTTGATGTGTGGAGAAGTCAGGAACACGTGCATGCTGCTGTTTTTGCTTCACCCATTCTTGTGATACAAGCGGCTCGCTTTGATTTTGATGCGGACACTGAGGCTGCTCAGAAGCTTAGGTACCGGGTTGATCCGACTAGGGAGATCATGTTTCCTGTCTTTCAGAATGACAGCCTCGGCATTGTCAATAGTCTATATGCTCTGAGCTCGATTGTGGTGCACAAGGGAGCTGCACCGGACTGCGGCCACTACTTGGCTCTTGTGCCTGAGGATAATGTGTTTAAAATCCTGGATGATGGCGTGGCGGCTCGGAAATGTGGCATCTCTGAGCTTGACGATCATTGTTGTGACTCCTATCTTTTCTTTTACAACTTGGCCAGCCATTAATCCTGCGACCTCGCTTTCATTTATGGTGTTCGCACCGGAGGTCAAGTGCACCTCGAAGCCTTTTGGGGATGATGCTAAGATGCATCAGCATCTAATGCCGGGGCCGATGGTCTTGTCCCTCGATGTCGCTAGCAGAGACCGAACCTTTGCAGCGTGTGAGTGAGTGAGTGAGTGAGTGAGTGAGTGAGTGAGTGAGTGAGTATGTATGTATGTATGTATGTGTATGTATGTATGTATGTATGTATGTATGTATGTATGTATGTATATATGTATGTATGTATGTATATTTGTATGTATGCATTCATGTATGTATGTAGGTACGTAGGTAGGTAGGTATGTATGTATATATGCATATATATTTATATATGGATAGATAGGTGGATAGATAGATAGAGTGATATGATAGGTAGATAGGTAGATACACATACTACGTCCTTCAAATTACAAGGGTCTCAGGTTGCGGGTTTCAGCGGTAGCTGCAGCCGTCCAAACTCCCTCCCTCTTTCAGGTTGCAGCCTTAAATCCTTCACCAGAAAGGAGGAACAGCGAAAAGCCGCTAAAGTCTAAACACATGGTGAGATCCAAACCTCTGACAAGTTACGAAAGGGCCTTAGTAGGAACCCTGAGGAATAGTACTGCTATACTATGCAAGCCTGGCTAGTATTCGCAACGAAGAACCCTTCCCTCTGGAACAATGATGTCAATTATGTTAGCTTCTGTGTCACAGGACACCACCAGACCGTCCGACAACGGGGCCTTGTGTGGAGGTGTCCGCGGTTGATACAAGATAGGGTTGATGGAACCGGCTTTGAATATGTGCCCGGAGCCCTGAAAGCTGACACCTTAGCCAGAGATCCACTCCAGTATTTTCGGGCCCTTTCCGGGGCGCTCTCTTCCTCACCTTGCTTGGGCTCTCCGGTGTTCAGAATCAGGCTCCGGGGTTTAGGGTTTAGAGCTTTAGGAAGACGGTTAAGGCTTTGCGAAGTCTCGCGAGCAGTGAGGCTCTGAAATTTGTGCATGGATGCTCCCATGGGTTCAGGGGAGGGGTTTCTCAGTCTCAGGCGCAACATTTCCTACGTGGAGACATGTTCTCTTTTCCAGCATGCATGCATGCATGCTGGTAGAGTAGGTGTGTATGGAGTTGTATGGACGGAGGGAAGGATGGATGGATGTATACTTCATCATAGTGGTTAGACGGTTCAGAAAAGATGAATATTCGCCTCAAGGCCTTTTTTGGGGGCCTGTCCGCGTTTGACTTCCCCATCCTTGTCGGCTATGTTGGTGGAACAGGAGCTTCAAGACTTGCTCAGCGGAAGCGTTCGCTGTGAAGCATTCTGGAAGGCTGTCTCGAATCCATCCATCCATCCATCCATCCATCCACCCAGCCAGCCAGCCAGCCAGCCAGCCAGCCATCCATCCATCCATCCATCCATCCATCCATCCATCCTTCCATTCATCCATCCATATGTACATACATGTGTGTGTATATGTACCTGTATCTGTACTTGTACCTGTATCTGTATGTGCACGTGTATGTGTTTATGTGTGTTCGAGTATGTGTGTATGTGTATGTGTATGTGTGTGTATGTGTATACGTAGAGCTGTGTTTATGCAGTTATTAACTTATCATTTGATTGTTCTGTATGTACAGTTTTGCCTGCAAACATACAGACGTGGATACATATGGGTAGTTGTCAAAATTAGGGTCCCTTTTGGGGCAACCCTAAATAATAGGTGCCGTATTATAATAAGGACCCAAAAAGGGACCATAATTTTGACAACCACCCATATGTGTAGAGAAAGGTAAGTGGATGCAAAGAAAGACCTAGGCATGAAACCTGCCTCAAAGGTCATCGCACCCAGAGTTGCAAATGCTTACTGGAAATTGCTGGCCAGCCCCGTCGCTAAACCCGAAACCCTAAACCCTAATCCCTAAACCCTAAACCCTAAACCCTAAACCCAGACCCTAAACCCTAGACCCTAAGCTCTGAAACCAAGCCGGTGAGCCGAAGGTGGCGTCTTCGAGACACCCGGTTGCGTGCACAATCAGTGCCACTAGCCCCTACTTAGAGTTCTTGTTGAGCACTTGGGTCACCGGGTGGGTTGAAGGGGCTCAGGACCGAAGCAGCCTGACACAGGGATGAATTCCTTATCTTTTGTCCCATCGTCTCCTTAGGGCGACCGTGGTGTTTAAGCCCGATTCTGCCAGTTCAAGGCCCCCGTACCATTCCTTGAGCCCCGAACTCCGTAAGCCCGAAAATCGAAAGCCGAGCCCGAATTTTCGAAGCTTTGTTGCTTCTGCACTGCTTTGATGCTACTGGGGTTTAGGGGTTTAGGGGTTTAGGGTTTAAGGTTTAGGGCTTAGGGTTTAGGGTTTGGGGTTTGGGCCAAGGATTTCGGGACATGTTTAGGGTTTGGCTAGTTCCGTCGACCAAACAAGCAGTCTTTTTTATTCCGGGTTGTTCCTTGTGCTTATGTGACGCTTGTGAGACGAAAGCCCCACCCCTAAACCCCAGACCCCGAGTCCAGAGCCCTATCCCATGGTTTGAGGTTTGGTTTAGGGTTTAGGGTTTAGGGTTTAGGGTTTAAGGCCTGGGTGATGATTTGATTCGTGATGTGCCTTGCACTTCCGCTGAGGCTTGTTCTCGCATTTGATGACTGGCAATGGCCAGCCGGTGAGCAACGTGAGGATCGTGACTGAGTTGCAATGAGACGAGGTTTTTGCCCTAGGCCTAAACCCTCAACCCTAAACCCTAAACCCTCAATTCTACACCCCAATCCCTAAACCCTAAACCCTCAACCCTCAACCCTAAACCCTAAACCCGAAACCCGAAACCCTAAACCCTCAATTCTACACCCCAAGCCCTAAACCCTAAACCCTCAACCCTCAACCCTAAACCCTAAACCCTACACCCGAAACGCGACACCCGAAACCTTACCCTGTAAAGGCCTGACCTGTCCGCACAAGCTCCTGACAGCACACAGAGCTTTACCACACCAAGCCCCTTCGAAGAAGACTGTCTGGTGCTTAGTAGGGAATGGGGGAATGGGTAGGGATCCATTTCCCCATTCCCTACTAAGCACCAGACAGAAGATCGAGCCACTCACCGAGGCCACACAAAGTCAAATGATCCTGTAACAACTAACCCTAAACCCTAAACCCTAAACTGCCACCCCGTGAACCTCAAGCTGTAAACCTCACCCTAGAACCCTAACCCTAATCCCCTGAACCTTGAACTCTAAACCTCACCCTAGAACCGAGGAGAACGTGCGTCTGAACGATTTCTCCAACGACCCGAACCATGCGAGTCAGCTGGCGGTGTGGGTGGCCCAGACGACCGCGCAGGCGCAAAGGGTTTTCTGGGGTTTAGGATTTTAGGGTTTTTTTTTGGGGGTTTTGGGGTTTAGGATTTTAGGGTTTTAGGGTTCTTTGGGGTTTAGGATTTTAGGGTTTTTTTGGGGTTTAGGATTTTAGGGTTTTTTTGGGTTTTTTTGGGTTTTTTTTGGGTTTTTTTGGGTTTTTTTTGGGGGTTTTGGGGTTTAGGGGTTTAGTTGTTAGGGGGTTCCAGGCCAAGAGTCGAGAGAGTTTCGACCACGGAGACGAAGTCATATTTTGGGGAGTTTCCGAACATTGGGGGTACCTTATCCTTATTTTGGGGTCCTTATAATAAGGATCCTACTAATTATTTAGGGGGTCATATTTGGGGGGGTTTCCGAAATTTAAGGGGTACCTTATGTCGGGGTCTTTAGAAGAGCAGCCTTGCTCTCATTTGGGGGGTTTCCGAACATTGGGGGTACCTTATCCTTCTTTGGGGGTCCTTATAATAGGGATCCTACTATTTAGGGGGTCTGAAAATATGGGAGTTTCAGAAAATAAGGGGTACCGTATTTTGGGGTCCTTATAATAAGGATCCTATTAATTATTTAGGGTACTATATTCGGGTCCCCTATTATGGGAAACTCCCATTTTTTTTTTTTTTTGGGGGGGGGTCCGAAAGTATGAGTAATTAGTAGTACTGTTGCTGAGGGCTCCTTGTTGTAACTTCAGCATAACGTATCCGGAAACCCTGTTTTTGGAAGCCCCGCGTGTCATTCTAATTATTCAGGCCCCTATAATAAGCACATGGTTTTGGGAACCCTCGATTGATTAATATAGGGACCTTAAAAATTACCTACATTATTTTGGGGGGTTCCTTGTTATAAATATACTTTAGTATACCCCACAACCCTATTCTAATTATTCATGCCCCTTTTGTAGGCACATGGTTTTGGGAACCTGGAAGCTTCGAGGTCGAGGCCGATGGTCACCTAAACGGGCTCCAGGGACTGATGGTCGAACTTTCGACGGTTTAGGGTTTAGGGTTTAGGGGTTTAGGGTTTAGGGTTTAGGGGTTTGGAGGGTTTAGGGTTTAGGGTTTAGCAACAAGCCCTTCGAAGTTACAGTTTTTTTTTTAAACAGGGCCCCTCTTTTCCTGCAGTGCAACATCTCCAGAGTTCTATTGATTAAGGCCCCTATGTTAGACTGAAGAAGCTGGAAGTTACTTCCTGACCCCAGAGGGCCAACTCTGAGATGTAAACCCTCCAAAACCCTCAAAAGCACGAAGCCCTAAACCCCCAAGCCGCACACGAAGAAGGGTAGTTTAGGGTTTAGGGGTTTAGGGTTTAGGGTTTTAGGGTTTAGGGGTTTAGGGGTTTAGGGGTTTAGGGTTTAGGGTGTAGGGTGTAGGGTTTAGGAGTATGTGAAAGGAGGAGGTTAGGAGAACCCTCTCTCGCGAAGGCTGAGGATCCAACTCAAAGCCCGACCCTTTAGTTCAGCCACTACACATATAGACAGACATGTAACACCTGTGACCTTTGTAGCTTTATTTACGACTTGTAGATAGATCATCTGTGTGTAAACGCCTATGTAGAGAGAGATAGACAGGGATAGAGATGGTGATAGAGATAAAGATTCCCGATCCCTCCCTCTCTCTCTGCATCGATCTCTCTCTCTCTTTCTCTCTCCATCGATCTTTAGAGCTCGGGTTATGGGCTTGGAACTTGAGGGAAAGATGACCAGGCGCCCACCCGGGATGTCCACGTGACAGGCCTCGTGGCCATGCCTCTTGTTGGCTCCATTTGGGTTATTTAGGGTTGTACGTTATACGAAGGGCTGCTAAGGAACACTTAGGGGTAACTACATTCAGGGTTATTGAGAGGGCTAGTTGGGTCATATTTAGTGTATTTAGGGCCCAGTGTTTTGGGGGTGGGAGGGGGAGCTTTGGGCGGTTTCAGAACTAGGTTGACCTAAGAAATCTGACCTAGGACTAGTTACATTTCCAGAGTCTTCATATTTTAGGACCTTCATTATAATATATTAGGACCTTCATTATAATATATTAGGACCTTCATTATAATATTTTAGGACCTTCATTATAATATTTTAGGACCTTCATTATAATATTTTAGGACCTTCATTATAATATTTTAGGACCTTCCTTATATTGCAGGATTCTATCGGGACTTGGGGCCCTTTTGGGGTTTTGGGGGTTTCGGGTTTGGGACTACCGGGGGCTTGGAGCGATCCAGGGGTCGCTGTTTCAAGGGTGCCTCGGAGCAGGAACTGGGGGGGGTTTTTGGGATTCGGGTGCTTTGAAAGGGTTTAGGGTTGAGGGCTTAGGGTACTTGGAGGATCATTGAGGCATACGATACTAGACTTATAATAAGGAGCCCCCTACATTAGGGGTTTACTTGGAGGATCATGGGACTTAGTAGGTAAGGTTATAAGTCCCTTAATTATGGGGGTTATAAGTATAGTTACCCTACTTATAACCCTACTTACGAAGTCCCATGATGCTTCAAGTAGGGCTTGAGCTTTTTGGGGCATCCCGAGCCAGAGCCCCTCCTAGACTTAAAGCCCATCCCTAAGGCTCTAAGGCCCGAAACCGGCCTTCAGCCCGAAGGCCCCAATCACGGAAGCTCTAAGACCCCCGGAAGCCCGGCAACCAAGCAAATATAGGAGCCTAAGTCATTGCCTATACTATTTTGGGGGGTTCGTTATTATGGTTATGGTATAAAATACCCCCAACTGTATTTAAGATACTCTAGATCCTCACTTTCAAGTGCCAACGTCCCAAAGGTTTCTTCATGCCGACGGCATCAACTTCCACGGCTTTGTCCAGGATGCGAAAGTACAGGACCCGCCGTTCCTTTCCCTATGTAGAGAGGTGCCTGCGGTTTAGGGTTTAGGGTTTAGGGTTTAGGGTTTGTTTTTCAAAGGGGGTTCTTGTTATTGTGCGGCTGGGAAGCAGGCAGAGCCTTGCTCTCATTCGGCTTACGGCTTTGGGGCCTGAAGGGACCCTATAGTAGAACCCTATAGGACCCATTCTAGAAACTTATAGGACCTTTAAGGGGACCCTATGATAGAACCCTATAGGACCCTGTCAAAAGAGGCTTCTCAAATCCAGAATCGTAGATTTGCAGCCAGTTAGCGCTGCAGTGCCCCTGAAGTACAGTCCTGCCCTCGAGCGGTTTCCCTGGAAACGTCGGGTTGGAGACTTTTTTGGCCTTCCTCGGGGTCTCTCGAGAGAGGGATAGGGCTTACCTTTTTCGCCTCCCAGCATCAGGACACTTACATCCAGAACACGGGCGACGATATCTACGCCGTCTGGGGCAGCCACTTCGACACGCGGAACATCCTTTTCGAGCGGTGTGTCGGGGTCGATGCTTGGCGCACGAGCCCGAAAAGCCGAGAAAAGCAGGGTTCCTCATGGTTCCTCTAAGAAACGAGGCTCCTTCAAGAGAGCCCTAGAAGAAACATGGCAGATTCTAGAGAACCCTTCAAAACGTCGAAGAGATATAGCCCTCAACAGGGAACTCCAATGAAGCGAAGAATGCAGTAGCAACGTCTATAGAAGAGCTGACTTGATTTACGAAGTTTCGATCTACATTGACAAAAAGGACACTGGTGAGCTCAAAGGCACTTGGAGCCGCAGCACGCAATAGGCACTGCCTCAACCCGAAAGCCCCGAATGCGAAGGTGCTGCCGTCTGGCGTCGGCATAATGAGAATGTGGTCATGTCCCCGAATCGGTTGAAACCCAAAGACTCACCGGAAGTTCCCAAGCTGCCTTGACATGAATCCCAACTACCGTGGCAAGTCGATCAGAGGTCTTTCTGACCCCGTAAAACCCGCGAACGCCGTAGAAACCTTTCAAACCGAGAAACGTGCAACATAGGGGCCTCAAATTCCTATACTATTTTGGGGGTTCCTTATTATAAGTATACTATAATGGGCCCCAAAACATTTTAATTATCAAGGCCCCTATTTTAATGCCCATGCGAGCAAAGGACGCGGGCAGGGCCCGGCAGAACCACTATGGGAGCTGCGTTGCCGTCTATGGTGCCAAGGCGCAGCGCAGGGGAGGCTCCCAATATAGGGGCCTGAATAATTAGAATAGGGTTTTGGGTTTAGGGTTTAGGGTTTAGGGTTTAGGGAATAGGGTTTTGGGGCCCATTCTACTATTTTTTGTTAGTAAGGAACCCCCATAGGTAATTATTCAGGTTCCTACATTAGGGTTCAGGCCTTTAAGGCTTTGCGAGCTTTTAACGGTTGAGGGTGTTGAGGTGTTTCGTTTTGGGGTCCATGCTTTAGTTCGCTACTTTGCGTGTGCATGTGTATTTGCTTTCATGTGAGTTTTTGGCGATGTGTTGTAAATATTTTGGCTTCCACGGCCCTTTGGGCTTTCTAAGCTTGCGGGTAGTGGATTGAGGTGTCGCACGCGTAGGGTGCGAAGAAGTTTCGTTTTCCTGCTTGCTTCCCAATATTCGAATGAGCCAGCGATCAAAACATTCCAAAAGCTAGGGCACCATCATCAAGCGGAGCCCAAGCGCAAAACCCTAAACCCTAAACTAGAGGGTAAATCAAGGGTCTAGGTACCAGTACTTTCTACATTAGACTAATGAGCCTATCTGGCAGTTTGTAGGCTACGCAGGTTGTAACAGAATTCGTGACCGCCCGCTCCCGATAGCAGGGTTGCCCTTATCTTGCTCTGCCGCGTTGCTGCACGATTTTGCAATTCTGAAGCCCTTAGTTTTCGGGCTGGGTCTATTTTTTGAATCCTTTCCGGGGTCTGCGGGAGGAGTTTCGGATTTAGTCTTCTGGGGTATTGTAAGAGCTATCAGATGCGGACATGGGTTCGAAGCCTGGGAGATTCGGAGATCATGGAAAGAATCTTTTCATACCTCTTGGCCCACAGCCTTTCTGGATGGGTGCTGGTTCCTTCGGGTCCCGGCTGGACGAGGCTTCGCTTACAAAATACCGAAGCACCAAATCCGAAATGCAGGGTCTGGGTGGTTTCGATGGCTTCTCGCGTATGATTGCAGGACTCGGCGACTAAATGCTCCGGGTGTCGTTCTGCCGGAGTATCAATGACAACAGCACAAGAAGACGCATGTAAAGCACGACGAACGAGCAAGTAAGAGCTTCGCACCCGACAACACCTGAGAGAAGCTTTGCGAGCCCTGCTCAGGAGGCTACCTTCCGTGATGTGACGTGCCACTTGCATGCAGTGGGCGACCTTAAACCCTAAACCCTAAACCCTAAGCGTCCTTTGCAGTGGATGCAAAAAAAGGGGGCGACGCTTGAGAGCACTGGGATCCACCTAGGCCCTACAAACATGTGTGCGCAACCCTATTCTACCATTTCCCTCGTTGCTCCCAGCAATACTTGCGCTTTCCGAGTGATGCACTTGAGAGTACGACGATTCGAGACTCCTGTTTCGGACTTCTTGGATCGGAAGGCACGTTCTTGAGGCCGCAACATTGAAGAGCCCTCAACCCTAAACTCAGCCCTGTGAGGGTCACATGCCCTTGTGGAGACCATATACCTGTACAGTAGGTTACTGTCCGTACATCTTCAGCATCCAAACGCCATGGAAAACCCCAAGCCCCAAGCCCTAAGCCCACCACCCTAAACCGCAAACCCTGAACCCTGGCTTCCCAGGCTTTGCCCCAGACCAAAATCGTCATGACTGCTACGATCCCAAGAACGGTGGGGAGACCTGCAACGGCTGCTTGGGCACCTCGTCTCGTCGGCCGGTTCTCCCGGTAGTGGAAGGGTTTTAGGGTTTAGGGGTTAGGGGATTAGGGCTCTAGGGCTTTAGGGCTTTAGGGCTTTAGGGGCTTTAGGGCTTCAGGACTTTAGGGCTTTAGGGTTTTGGGTTTGGGATTTTTGGCTAAGGGTGTCGCCAGCGTGTTCTGAAGGCAGATGGCATCATGGGGATGTAGGGACGGTCTGGGGGTTTCCTGGAGTACTGGAAAGCTTCGCGTCATGCGCTTAGGCTCCGGCCCCTGTGTCCCTGTGTCTTGCACTACACCCGGCAATAAGAAGCCTAGAGCGAACCAGATCTTCCGCAACCTGTAGGACTTGTTTTTTTGCACCCTCCACCCTAAACCCTAAACCCTAAACCCTAAACCCTAAACCCCAAACCCCACAGCCCCGAAACCCTAAACCCTAAAACCCCAAACCCCCACAGCCCCGAAACCCGAAACCCTTAGACCCCAAACCCCCACAGCCCCGAAACCCTAAACCCTTAAACCCCAAACCCCTAAACCCGAAACCCTAAACCCTAAAACCCCAAACCCCACAGCCCCGAAACCTGAAGACCCGGAGCTTTGCAGAAGCCCTCGTGCAGCCTTTGGTAGGCCCACGGGTACAGAAGCAAGCGCCTGAAAGCAAAGGACGGGGCGGGGACCCACAGAAAAACCCGCCTGGAACGTTTAAGGAAACCCACACGACTACCGACAAACAGCCACAGCAAAGCTCCTTAAACCCTAAACCCCCTAAAAACTAAACCCTGAAGCCTAAACCCTAAACCCTAAAGCCTGGGCCTAAACCCTAAACCCTAAACCCTAAAGCCTAAAGCCTTGAGCCCCAAACCCTAAAGCCTTGAAGACCGGCCAGGAATCATCAAGCAGAGCTTCGATGCCAACTACCGGGGTTCGGTGCTTCCTTGGCTGCAGACAGGGGGGCTGAAAGGGGCATGGGGGGCCGAGGCTAGGGGGGCTAGGGGCTTAGGGTTTAGGATTTGGGGTTTAGGGCTCATCTTGTATTTTCTACCGGCTACTGCTTCGTGGGATGATTCTTTCTTGTACTGGGACTCTGTCTACGTTGTGTTTGTTTGGGAGGTTGGCGCTGTGGGGTGTGTGGGTGTCCCGTGGTTTTGGTTGTCAGTTTAGTGGTTCAGGGTTTTGAGGCAGGCTCCCTAAACCCTAAACCCTATACCCTAAACCCTAAACCCCAAACCCCTGTCTCGTGGTAAACATTTGACGAGTGAGGCTCCATCTGAAATTGAGATAAGTGAAGTGTCCCATATCGCCAAACAAACCCTGAACCCCCGAACCCTAAAAGCCCTATACCCTAAACTCTAAAACCCTAAACTCTACTAAACCCGAAAACGCTAAACCCTAAGACCCCTAAAGCCCTAAACTTGTTTGAGGGTTTTGTGTTTTTGCAGGGTTTTAGGTCTAGGTTTTAGAGGTTTTCCCTCCGGCAACCCCGACTGCGAGCTTCAATCCTTTCGGGGCTTTCGAAAGCCCTAGGCTACGAGTTGTGGCGTTGGAGGGTGTGGGAATCCCGGTGACTGCATAGTCTTCTAGTCGAGGAGACTTGCCAGGCCAAGGTTGTCGGGTTTAAGAAAGGACACCAGCCCTAAACCCTAAACCCCAAACTCCCTAAACCCGAATCCCGGAAGTGGGGAACAGAGCCCACAGCACGAAGCCCCCTTCCAGGTTCAATTTCGAAGGGTGCAAGTTCTACAACCTCAAGCGTAGCTGGCGGAACGGACACCAGGCCGGGGCTAAAGACACGCCCTTACCAACGAGGGGACTTACGCTTCAGAATAGGTATCACAAGTCATATGCTGCTGCTGCTGCTGCTGCTACTGCTGCTGCTAGTACTACTACTACTACTACTACTACTACTACTACTACTACTACTACCACCACCACCATGACCTGTGCCAGCATCACTACCACTTACTACTTCCACTACTCCCACTACAGTACTAGTATTGCTACTGCTGCTGCTACTGTTGCCGCTGCAGCTGCTGCTGCTGCTGCTCACGGCTGCTAGAACTACTGCGATGCGAATGATTGAATGACTGTGACCCTGCGGGCCATGAAGAATCACCACAGCAATCCATGCCATCACAGTGGGATGGATAAGCGTTGATGGGGTACTCATAATGCCAGCCAAGCCGTTAGCATCAAGTCTTCTTCTTACTTGGGAGACCAAGAATGACCGAGTCTGCTGGGTTCCTGGAGACCCCCGCAACAAGTATCCCAAATCCTACTAGAAAAAGCCCTTCTGTAAGCCCTAGCTCCGAAGGCCCAAGGCAAAGGCTTAAGAAAAATCATCAAGAAGATACCAGGTCTACGACCTCTCAAACCCGCAGAGCAATGGGCGACCCATTGTGTGCAACAACGAGTGGCGGGACGGAGGTCTCGAAGTGAGGGTCAGCTGATCCGGTGAGGCAAGAGCGAACGGCTGCCAGATTGGGCATTTTAGGGTTTAAGGTATTTAAGAATCCGTTTACCGTGGTACTGGTTTCTTTGGGTTTGGGTGGAATAGTTCTGTTTATGAGTAGCTTGTATCCTGCATGTTGCGAAGCAGTGGAAAGACTGCTGTCGGTTTAAAGAAGTCGTGACATAGACCTCCCGGTGCTGGACATGATCTTTGCCAGAGAGCCAGGGGGTAAAGCAGATTCATCTCTTTTGTAAAGCCGCTTTTCGATTTCAGCCTTTTGCGCCCTCGCGAAGCAGCGGGGCAGCGGGAGCCAATGAGTGTCAGATGTATCTCCAGGCTTCGAAGATTCTAGGATCGCGAAACCCTAAAACCTTAAACCTGAGACTGTACGTAGAATTCTACTTACAATCCTTCGAGTGATTACTCACAACGCCAAGATCTGAGCGTTTATCGGAGTTCATGAATAGCTGCTGCTCCATTCAGCTCAGGCCTCAAAGCAAAGCATGGGTGCTCATGTCGCTGTGGCAATGGCAGCTAGTTACAAGATGAAGAAGAAGATGGCATATGGGCGTTTGAGAAGATAGGGCATTCTGATATGACCCGACTCTCAATAGCAGATCCTTAATGCACGTACTTGGCCCCAAATTATGGACCCCCCAGCCTGAACAGTGCTACTCATAAGGAAGGGGCCGTTTTTTTGAGGGTTTGGTAGCCTAGGCTTGCTACTTTAGAGAAGGCCTAGAGCAAGGACACCTGCCTGGAGAAGAACGGCTTGGTCACAAGATCTTGAAGATTTTCGCACCAGGCACTTCCAGATGGTAGTTTCTGAAAATAAGGGGTACCCTATTTTGGGGTCCTTACAATAAGGATCCTACTATTTAGGGTACTATATTAGGGTCCCCTATTTTCGGAAACCCTCAGATGGCGATCGCCCAGCAGCGAACGAAGCAGCCTGGAGACCAAAAGAAGTGACGTGCTTTGATGTCCGCCGCACGCCCTCGAAGCTACAGGAGCTACAGAAGCCTGTATCCCGAAACTCTTATCCCTAAGCCCTAAACCCTAAACCCAACACCCTAAACCCTAAACCCTAAACCCTAAACCCTTAGAGCCCAAGACCAGAATCCCCAGCCTCAGACTTTTCATTTCCTCATCCCAAGACCTGCACCCTCAACCTTAGAACCCCAAACCCCTACAAACCTTGATGAGAGGGTTTAGGGTTTAGGGTATTAGGGTCAGGGTTTAGGGTACCGGGGTTTAGGGTATTAGGGTTAGGGTTTAGGCTATTGGAGTAGGGTTTAGGGTTTAGGGATTGAATTTGTACGGGAAGTGTTGCACATGCCTGGACTGCATTAAAGTCGTGCAGGTACCTCTAAACTCCTGCTATGGCTGCGACAAGCATACATGCACCTGATTCCCATGCGTAAAGTCAAGCCAGAGGGCGTAGAGTTCAGGGCCTCAGGGTTCAGGGTTTAGTGTCTAACTGGGGTGTACTCGACTTGGCTCTCCAACAGCCCTTGCCGCACACTAAGTTTTGAGCGCGCCTCTATTCAGGGTACCTAAACCCTAAACCCTAAACCCTAAACCTGAAACCCTAAACCGCTTGGTGGTCAGGGCCTGACAGGAGGGAAGCTCGACTGTGATTCCTCTGTAAACCACTAAGGACACCAGATCCAAACTCGTTTTTTTTGGTGTCCCGAGGTCTTCAACGGCTCGAAGCCGCCAAAGTGACTCAAGCCTGCATGCGAATTCGCCTTGCCATTGGTCTTCGGTGGGACTGCACTTTACATGCTTCTCATCGTTTTCGGACGGTGTTCAGGGCAGTCGGCTTTGTGATGCTTTCTGCCGAACCTGGTAAACACTGGCATTACGGCCAAGCCCAAACCCTACACCTATGTCACGAAGCTTGTTGGAGTCGCGGGGGACCGCTTCCTTCAGCCACGGGGGCCTTGCAAAACGAGTGCGCTGCCGTCTGTTCGTGAGTTCCTTCAGGGCCGTAAACCGATGTGGATGGCCCAATCGTAGACTAATATAGGGGCCTTAACAATTAGAATAGGGTTTTGAGGCCCATTATACTATAATTATAATGAGGAACCTCCAAAATAGTATTGGTAATTATTTAGGCCCCTGCAGTATGTCATTATGTAGGCTTGAGACCTAACCGCTAGCTTACCCCGAAACCCTGTGTGGTGTGTAAGCTTCGCCTGTGTCGCCTGGGGGTGAGGATTTACTGTTTTGTGCCGTAAACCACCCCAAACTCCAGCCCCACCCATAAGGAACCCCAAGGTACGGAAACATACATGGGTAGTTCCCTAAATTAGGGTATATTTTTAGGGTCCTTTTCAATAAGGGTGCCGTACTATTTTGGGGACCTAAAACGGGACCCGAGTTTTTGGGAACTCCCACCCCTTCGTTTTCGCGATCAGACTTTGTCTGGGGCGGCCTGTGCTGGCTCGGGGCTTTTGGGGGAGCCGAGCCGTGGGGCCGTCCCTGTTTGAGTGGGAGGTCTCGTAGCCTCAGGCTTTGAAGATCTTTGCGTTGCATATACTTTGAGACTCAATTCAGTTCTAGGTGTATGGGTTAGGGTTCAGCATTCACAACGACTTGGACTGGCAATTCCTTGTCGTTTATGTATGGTTTCGGACTCTTGCATACATTTGTCTCTCTGCGAAACATGGCGGCTGCCACAGCGCAACAGAGGACCGACTGCTGTGAACCCGATGGCATCAGCATCTCGATAGTCGGTGGCCGTTTTCGCCGATCATCCGCTGGTAATCACATGTGTATCGACCCACACCCTGTTCTAACCATGTGGAGCCGTGTCGTGGACGAACCTAGCAAGACCCCGGAACCCCGACCAACCCAAGGGCCCGAAATGTCAAACCCTAAGCCATGCAAGACGCCCCATGGGCCTTTAACCCCGAAGCTAAAGCTCCTGTCCTAATATTGAAAACCCAACGATCACCTTCTTCTGGTACGTAGACTCGTCGCTGGGTATTGCGTGCGGCCCAGAGTTGAGTTTGAGGGACGACAGGGCATCGGCGTTGCGAATGCTTGACCAAAGCTTCGGAGGCATAAGGGTTTAGGGTTAGGGTTTAGGGAAGAATCCTTCGGTTGAGTGCGTGTGGCTCTGCCGCGGCTACCATCTTGTGTCTGTATTGACAGCAATACGGAGTTAGAGTGCTGCTCGTATCCCGTGAACGGTCATGACAGGAGTATAGCAGAGCAGTGCCCACATAGGACATGGGTAGTTCCATAAATTAGGGTCCCTTTTTAGGTCCCCAATATAGTACGGCACCCTTATAAAAAGGGATCCTAAAAGGGACCCTAATTTGGAAAACTGCCCACATAGGACATGGGTCAGCATGGCAAGAAGGAGGACGAAGCTGATTGTGCCGGTAGTCGAAGCAGCAGTAGAACAGGACCAGTCGCAATGTCAAAAAATCATAGTAATCAGAACAGATGCACGATCAGGACTAGAGGCAGCAATGTAGGTTCCTCAATACTATGTATATGAGTTTTGGGGCATATGCTATGGTAGAATTTATTGAATACTGGCAAGGAATTTCAAGGAATCCACAGGAGCAGCCTCCCGCAACAGAACGGATTGTGCGAGGTCAGATGATGAACCATCAAAATCTAGGACATTTTCAGGTGGGTAGTTACCATTATAGGAGCCTTATAGAAGCCCTATATACCCTAAACTCCCCACCTGTAGTTTCCTTTAACAAAAATCAGTGTTCTGGCTTCCAGTCTGGAAGCACTTGTGAATCCTTTATCCCTAAGCTCCTGAGCCCCAAACCCTGTACCGAAACCCTAAACCCTAAACCCTAAACCCTAAACCGCCAAGATCCTGAACCTTACACCGTAGATGCCCGACTCTCGTCCGGAGCTCTCACGACAGGACTCCCGATTTGCCTTCGGCCGCATCCTTAGAGTTCATGCTTTCGGGCCATAAGAATAATTTCTGCTTGTTCATCGGATCTCTGTCGACCTTGCTCGGTGTTTTCTGGCTTCTGCTTTGGAGCTTCAGGCGTCAGAATTTTTGTTCTCAGCATGGGTGCTACCCTGCGGTCCCGATGCTTCCACGTGCATGCAGGATGGAGGAAAGGCACCCCCCCACAAGCACCAATCTCATTCATGTCACGTCTATTCAACCTTCAGAAATATAATGTCAAGGCCAAAGTACAATTGCGACACAGATGGTGCACAAAATGTTGTTTCGGGGTTGACCCGCGAAGAATGCAACTCTGCAGCTTTTGTGTTCAACTTGACACGCTTTGTTGGTTGTTGTCGGTTACATGGTAGATCTGTCCAGATAGATGGAGCTCCATCGACAGGTTTTGGATGTTGCTGAGGCAAAGCTACCAGACTCTTCTTAAGAACCTTTCGGCAGACCGGCGGTGGCGGCGCGAAAACAAGTATAGTAATAAGAGTAATAATCGTAATAATAGTAATAATAGTAATAATAGTAATAATAGTAATAATAGTAATAATAGTAATAATAGTAATAATAGTAATGATAGTAATAATAGTAATAATAGTAATAATAGTAATAATAGTAATAATAGTAATAATAGTAATAATAGTAATAATAGTAATAATAGTAATAATAGTTAATATATCTAAGCTCCAGAACCAATGAGACTAGCTTCGGGACTTGAGCAACAGCACGATTCCGAAGCATTGAAAACAGAGCATGCTGCTTAGCGGGTTGCTCTTGTGATTGTCCAGCCTGTGGGTTTACGGGCTGCGTCGTGGAAGGTTGAATGTACCCATACACGCCACCACCACCACCCACCACGACCAGACTACCACACCACCGCCAGAAGCAGCAACGGCATCAACCTATCAGCACCATCACCGGCGACAGCGTGACGTTCAGCCAGGGCGACGACGGCAACAGAGTTCGGGCAGGGTTTTTATGAAGAACAACCGAGCCTGAAGCCCTAAACCCTTTACCCTACAGGTCTCGAACCTCAAACCTCAAACCCTATCAAGCCTCAAGCTTCAGTACCCAATCGCTTCAGCCTCGCCCTAAAGCACGAATCCGGAGTCTCTGCGGCTCTCCTTGACCCCAAACGGCTTCAAATGTCCACATTCTTTGAAGCTCTCTTTGACCCCAAATGCCTTAAATTTCCACACTCTCTGAGGCTCTCTTTGATCACCTCGATGTGAATAAGGATGGAGTGGTCACTCGTGAGGAGTGGCAACGGGCGATGCAGGCCTTTACTTGAGCCCAGTCGCTTCTAGGGTTTGGGTTCAGGGTTTGGGGTTTGGGGTTTAGGCTCAAGTCCCTTTCATACTTTGTAGCGTGTAATGTAGGGCCCTAAATACTTACCAAAACATTTTGGGAGGTTCTTATTTGTAGTTACAGTATGCAATACACCCAGAACCGTATTCTACTCTATTAAGGCCCCTGCAGTATGGTTTAGGATCCCTTTTGTGGTTTTGTAGAAGTCGGCGCTGCGGCCATCGGATCAGGATGCCTGGTATTGCACGGTGACCTACTACATGTAAACCTAACCCTAAACTCCTATACCCCAAACCCTAAACCCCAAACCCTAAACTCCTGGACCATGGGCTTCGCCTCAGATCAAAAGAAGAAGCAGCTGCCTTCTGGGATTTCGTCATAGGCCGTTTTGTCCTTATGCGTTAAGGATCGTTTTGTAGGCCTGTCTGTCGGAATTTCCCGAAGCTGCCACATAGTCCGTGTACTTTCATAGAACTGATACCAAGCAGCAGAAGTCGGAAACCCAGGGTGCCCTTGATGTAGTCCAGTTTTGCAACTTGCAGGGTTGTGGATTCGGGAAGTAGATGAACAAGCCTTCCTGAGTGGTTCCCGCTTTCGACTGCCGTGGCTCTTTGGCCACAGACTATGGACTTGGTCTGACTAGTTTGTATGTTTCAGAGATCTGAAGAAATGGAGGCACTATCCTCTTATCGTCCAAGCAAGGCTTTTCTATGCCCAAGAACGCCTGTTCTTCAAGCCTTAATTGAGGCCCCTCTTCGGCTCTGTCTGGTAGTTTCATGTTTACGGCCCCTCCCCCGACCCCCCAAAAGGATCTTTAGTAGTACAGAGTCCCAAATTGGGGGAGCTGCAGCCGCAGAGGCGCAGCAACCATCGGCTGTGCCGACTCAGACACCTCTGCAGGTGCCAGTACCCCGAGGGGCTTGGGGTTCGGGGGGCGTTTTAAGAAGGGCTTAGAGTTTAGGGTTTAGGGTTTAGGGTTTAAGCCAAACCATCAGGCGCAATCCTTCCTTTCCCCATGCACAGGCTATACGGACATGTTCTTTGAACTAGGCTGACTGAATAAGCCAGGCTTGAGCTGGTAGCGCCAACCCCACCCAGTCCTCTCCACGAGATGAATCGAAAGAAGGCTGCCCTTACTGCTACGGGGCTAGTGGGAAACGCACAAGAACCGGCACAGGTGCAGGTCCCACCAGCAGGGGCCATGATGATGCCGCCACCTGACGACATATTTGCGGGTCGAAGCCTTTGGATTAGGTAATATAGGGGCCTAAATAGTTACCTATACTATTTTGGGGGTTCCTCATAATAATAATAGTATAATGGGCCCCAAACCCCTATTCTCATTCTTAAGAACCCTATCTTACTTTGAGTTTCCCACCTAGCTAGGCCAACAGGTTGTTGATAGGGTTGCCGGTGTTTAAGACTTAAAGATGTGCTAGGGTTTAGGGTTTAGGTTTAGGGTTTAGGGTTTAGGGTTTAGGGTGTTTAAGACTTAAAGTTGTGCTAGGGCTTGACACGTTTGGGGAAGGGTGCCCACCGTCTTAGCCCTTCTCGCTAGGCCCTGTGACGAGGCTTCGCTGTCTTCCAGGACTTTGTACCGGCAGTTATGGTATTAGCAGCAGCCATATCGGATCACGTCAGCAGGTCTACTGACAGCGCAATCAATAGTAACAATGATGCGACGATTACTCGTTGCGAGTGTTTAGGTCCTCATAGCAATGCCATGCCGTCGCATGATCATCCATCATGTTATGTGTGTGTACGTACACACCGTACTGATGACAGCATGACTTATAACAGTTCGAGGAGCCGCATTACGATCGAAACGAAGAAACTTGACTTGCGGTGCCAACCTGGTTGTCTTATTCTAGCATTTTACCATGCTTAAATGCCTTTACACCGTATAGAATCCTTATAAAGACCCTAGCCAGACCTTTTCCGTACAGAAGGCCCAAAGAAGAAACAAGGTTTCAGGCTTTAGGTGGGTTTGTGGTTAAGGGGCCTTTGGGCGGTTTAGGGAAGAGTTCTGATTTTTGAATCAGGGTTCACGGGGGAGAATGGCGGGCAGAGTGGGTTTAGAGTAGATAGTTCCTGAGACCTTACATCTCAGCAGATTTGGTTCTGGTTCTCACGGCTGCATCGGGGAATTCCGCGCTAAGTTTCCGAGTCGCTGAAGCTCTGGATCACTAAACCATTTAGCCCCTAAGAAGCGCCTGTGTGGGCTTGAGGGTACTACTGTAGGGGCCTTAATAATTAGAATAGGGTTTAGGCTTGAGGGTTTAGGGTTTAGGGTTTAGGGTTCGCTGCACTCGCGGGTATCAAGCACACCTAGGCCGCATGCGGCTGCCGTCCCACGGCCGGGCTATGCTGCGGTTCCTGCCTACCCGCCACGCAGCTGCCATTCGCGTTCAATAGAAGGTAGTCCTACCAATGCTGGTAGCCACAATCATGCGATAGGTTCGTAGTTGAACGTCAATACCTTGTGCCGAATTGAGGGTTGTAAGCAATGCTGCAGCGACAACAGGAGTAAGAGTAGCGGAGTGAGAGCAGGACAGTAGCAAGTAGAGTACCAGTAGCAGTAGCAGCAGCAGCAGCCGTCGTGGTCGTCGTCATCTGAGTTGTCGTCGTGACATTGATTACTAGCACTGGTAGCTCCACGCGTCCAATAACCCTGAGATAAAGCAGCACACGTCAGAGCTCGTGCGAACTCGTATCCTATGAACACGCTCTAGTATAGTGAGAATGAAGCACGACACATGCGATGGCAGCATCGCGTATATGTGAGGGTGAGGTTGAACCAAACAGACGGCCGTGATTTGCAGCACAATACCTCACATGACTCGCAAACACCGTGGCATCCTCGAACTATGCGACATATGGTATGTTCCTTGTTATTAGGTAGTGGAGCATTGTGTCCAGCAGTAGACGCAGCAGAATCGGGGTGCAGAGCTTTGCGTGTCAATCGAGTGTGCTCGTTGGTGGGCCCAGGCCAAATGCCGGGCAAGTCGTGGTGCACCAGCCTATTCCCATGATGAAGGCCAGGGCTTTTGTGCCCGAGTAACAGATTGCAAAACCCTAAACCCTAAACCCTAAACCCTAAACCCTAAACCCTAAAGTGGTCCTGATAGCGAAAAGCCACGAAGCAGTGCAATGAATGAAGTGCCAGGAAACATGTATTCGCAAATTCGCAACAACATGCCCTTGTAGCCTTTGCATCATTATACCATGTACCTCGCAACCCTCTTCGAATGATCAGGCCTCCGTACTGGGGTTTAATATAATTAGGGTCCTAAATAATTACCTATAATATTTCGGGGTTCCCCACTATAACTATAGTAAACTACACCCAAAAATCCTATTCTATGTATTAAGGCCCCTACACTAGGGCGAGGGCGTCAGCTTTGGAGTCCAGTGCCGTCTGTCCCGCGAGCCTTGTCCTGATACCACCTGAATGAAGCACGCAAGATTTGAAAAATGTAGGGGCCTGCGCAATTCAACGAGGGTTTGGGTGTAGGGTTTAGGGTTTTGGGTTTAGGGTTTTGGCAATTTTGGCTGAATCGGGCAAGACCTGCGATGTAGTCATACTTGTGGCAGACGGTGATCGTGGGAAACCTCACAAATACCAAGGCCTCGAACCCCAAACATCCTGCCGAAGCCCTGAGAAAGCCTAGCCGGAAAACACCAGACCACTCAACCCTCGTTACGCCTCACATCTTAGGGTTTAGGGTTCAGGGTTTAGGGTTTAGGGTTCCTACACCCTAAACTGCTATCCCTGGTTTGGCCGAAAGCCCTGCGTGGAGGCCATGTCGATGGCGCCGCCCGTCGGCGCGCCCGTCTATCTGCAGGCCGCTTGCGGGGAATTACGTGCTCAGGGCTTCAGCGAGACTTTTGGATTCCTAAACTCTAAACCCTGAACGGTTTAGGGTTTAGGGTTTAGGGTTTAGGGTCTAGGAACCCTAAACCCT